GTAGAATTTTGGTACAGTTTTCAAATCTTTTCTTATTGTTGGATTTACTATGCCATCCTGAAAAAGAAAAATTACTTTAAATAATTATTTTCAAAAAATCAATACAACAGACTGGGAGTAAAAACAAGGAATGACTAAAGATGGGAACAAGGGATCTTATTTGGGAGATGAAAATATTCTAAACTGAATTGTGGTGATGGCTGCACAATGCTAAAATAAGTGAATTATTCACTTACATTAGGTAAACTTTATGATGTATAAACTATAGCTCAAACCATGTTGTTTCAAATTCGATCTATTCCTTTAAACTATCCATTCTAAACTTACAATCTCTTCCCTTTGTGGATGAAAAAGGGCTTCTGTAACAAATCTAACAAAGTAATTTCCCAGGGTGATATGATTATAAATTCCTAACTGGGCCGGTCATGATGGATAGTCATGCCTCGGGTCTATAACTTCCCTAGTAGAAGTTTATCTTTGCAAGCCCTGTGCATTGTTTTTGTGCATCTAGGTTAACATCCCTGTGAAATGCTACTTTTTCATCCCTCAGACCCAATCATAAATATTTCCCTGCCTTACATTCTCCCACTTGCATGTAATCTTCTTTACTTCCCTCCTTAATTCCAAATGTATAAAAGAAACTGCAAACTGTCATTCTGGAAAACATTTTCCTCAGTCTGTTGAGATTTTGCTTCTAGGCATGTCTTCTGTTTGGGGCACATAAACTCTTAAAAACTCATAAAAATTTTCTACAGGTTCTTCAAGTCAACAACTTGAAGCAATCTTCTCTATTTGCAAAGTGGTATATTTACAGTTTATAAGGCTCAAGATTTCTATATCATCCTTAAGTCTTCCTTTCCTTTTTATCTCATGCCCAGCGTCTTAGTATGAACTCCTGAAAAAGCCTCCCTTGACCATGATGTTGGCCTTCCTGATAAAAAGCACTGTGACTTTCTCTGATTATCACACTGCCCCTAAAGTAGCTAAAGCTAGTTGACACAACTTTTATAAAGCATGCTATGTTTGAAATTTAGTAATTATTATAAAGGCCAGTACTAACAAAGCTTTTACTAGTGTTAGACACTATTCTAAGCACTTTATATATACTAACTCATACATAACCTTAATAATCCCTTATTATTAAATATGATTAACTTTTGGGCTAGAGTTTTCAAAGTCAAACCTCAGTTCTCGAATGTCTCCCATCTTGAACAATTCGGTTCTTGACCAAATTTTCATGAAAAAATGTCTCAATTGTCAAACAAAACTTCGGTTCTCGAAAACCCTTTCATGTTGATACCTGAATCATCAGTCATGGGTCTCTCAGGCGACAAAGGAGAGAATGTGCGAGTATGAGTCAGTTTACTGCTAAACCTCAAGTTGTTAACATCTCAGGAAATTTTGATGTGAATATTTTCTAATGGGGAAAGAACGATGAGAGAATCATTGATTGACTGCCTCCTGCACGCCCCTACTGGGGATCAAGCCCACAACCCGGGCATGTGTCCTGAACAGGAATTGAACCAGTGACCTTTTGGTTCCTGGGTCAACCACTGAACCACACCAGCCAGGCCTCTAAGCCATGTTTTAAAAATATAAATGTTGCTAGATAAAAGGTTCTTTAAGGGTCCTCCTGTCCTTTTCACTGCTTTCAAACACAATGAATAAAAGAATTTCTAACAAACAAGAAAAGCCCATTTACCCCTTCTATTCCTTTCCCTGAATCACCAGCTTTCATTTCTATATGGATCCCCCCTAGGCAAGGCTGAAATAGGATATCTCCATATTTTCTTATAGGATATGAAATATAGACATATATCTGAAGAACCCACATAAAACCAAAATGCAGCATGTACCCTTTACCTTACAATCCCACTCTTATCCATCATCTTTCAGAAGGGTTTGTTAATCATTTATGTTAAGGAATATTTGGTTAGGGGCAGGGTATCCTATGAAGAAAGATTAGAATAGAATTGGAACCATACAGCAACTAACAGGGGAAGCAATAAAATTATCATAATTTGAAAAAATAAAAATTAGGAGAGGAACTAGAAATATGCAAGTAGCTGTAACCAAGAGAATGAAAGGGAAAATTTCCACTGGATGTTATGCAAATGTGCCAACCAAATATATACTCAAGATTAGCTTCAGAACAGAAACTGACTGGTAGTGGAGTCTCTGGTCTAAACACAGACTGCTTTTAAAACCATGGGGAACTCCCGGTCAGCCCTTACCAGGCCTCCTCCTCCCAATACTTTGAGAACAATCAAGTGTCAAAAGTAATGTTTGAATTCAAGAGCCTCTATTCCGGATCCAGACTAAGTATACAGACTTGCCACACCGAGGCATTACCATATGGATATGGTTATTTTGTCAAATAGGTCACTTTCATTAAAGAAAGTGGACCTCCTCTCCTTCCACCAAGACATGAGATGCTCAGAGGCTGCTGTGTACCATGGTTAGAAAGGCAGGAAAGGGAGGTTCAGGAAAGTGAGCCTGTTTGACAAGAAAAAAACCAATGATGGTTCTCAGCGAGGTTTCTTTAATTCCTACTGAAACAGGTCTCCCTAGTGACTTTGGAAGGAAACTCAGAAAAGCCCATTTTCATTGTTCCACATTTTTAGTTTAGAAAGGGATCTTGAGTGCCGTCTTCAGAAAAACCTGAAAAATGAATCTGACTAGAACTGAAGAATGACAGACATTACACATGTTCTAAGCGAGGATACGCATACTCTGAAAGGCTGAAGTCCCAGTAAAGATCTGTCAAAGTTTCTATTTTCCTTACACATATTCCTCCTCCTCAGGCCTATTATATTTTCTGTATTGGTATCTTCAGAATTCTGAACTTTACATATTTTAAAAACATAATTAGAAATAAACCTACTGTATACATACTATCAAAATCCTGGAGAGTAAGTGCTATCTTCATGCTAAACAGATGCTTCATAAAGCCTTGAGAGATGTAGAGCTCCAGACAGCAATTCCAAAGAAAAGAACAATATAAAGTGTTAAGACGTGCTTCCTACAGTGATGTTCAGCCCACACAAGGACGGTGCTGGTTAGACTGGCAGCTTCATTTGTGCTCAGAGATGTAATGTCTGCCTTAGCTATGGGATGAAGGTGGGTGATGGCGATTGCATATGGGCTAAAGAGAACCAAGGGATTAGGCTGCAGAATTCCTACAAATGTATATTCATCCACTCAAGTTAAAATACAGTTAAGGAAAATAAATACGGTTATAAAAAGGAAGGATATAGTTAAAAGTTAGCAGGAAAGAGAAGCCCATTCCCAGAGTTACTTCGCCTGTGTTCTGGAGGAAACCCCAAACTCCTCTGCGGAGAATTACCGCCCCACCGGCAGGGTCTCCCTCGGAACCCCTCCATGCACATTTCCTGTGTGGGGCTCCTAGTCCTCCTCCGGGGAGGCACTTCTGTTCAGTTGGTGCCCATTAACAGATCTCTCTTTATGGGCAACACATCTGCCACAGCTATTAGACTTTCTGCTGTGACATTCTTATCAGAAGCCCGATTCTAAGGACGTCTCCACGGAGAAGCATGCAATATGCCAGGTAATTTAAGCTTTCTCCTTAACCAATTCAGACCGTCAGAAGCTACATACTCACAAGACTGCTTTCAGTGACTTAGGGTTTCACATTATGTCACTGTTGGCCAGGAAGGGCTCTAAGTGGTGGAAGGAAACCTCCAACGATAATGACTGGGAAATTATGATTTAACAGGTCTGGGTGGGACTGAACATCTGGATCTTTAACAAGCCTTCCACAGATGTGCATTAAAGGCTGAAAATCACCGCCCTATTTTATATAAGGGGGAAGGGATGTTCAGACTATTATTACACCGCGCTCACGGGAGAGATTTCCCTTAGGTCTCATTCCTGCGCTGATTTTACCGACATAGAAACTTGTCACTGCCGGCGCTCAGGCCCGGCCAGGTCTGCAGCCAGCTCCCTCTGCCCACGGGGCAGGCCCGGCCAGGTCTGCAGCCAGCTCCCTCTGCCCACGGGGCAGGGGCAGGACCCGGCCAGGTCTGCAGCCAGCTCCCTCTGCCCACGGGGCAGGACCCGGCCAGGTCTGCAGCCAGCTCCCTCTGCCCACGGGGCAGGCCCGGCCAGGTCTGCAGCCAGCTCCCTCTGCCCACGGGGCAGGGCCAAGGCCCGACGGAGGAATTGTGGGCGTGGTGGAAAGCACACGGGCTTCAGAACCAGAGAGCAGGTTTAAATCCCAGCGCTCCTCAGCCCCGTAACCTGTTTCTCATCAATGCAATGAGGACGGTAGGTCCGTACCTCTCGAAGTTGCGGGGAGAACTAGCGAGATCCACGCCCGGGCCGCGAAGTTAGAGGCCGGTAGTCCCGGCTGGTCCGAGCGGCATGACACAGTGTTTTCCTATTATTACGCGTTCCCGCTTCCTCGCTCCCTCCTCCCCGGCCGGGACGCCCTCCCCGGTTTGGCCCGTTTTATGGACTCGGAAGCCCCTTCTGATGCAGGCCGGCGGAGGCTGGGCTCACGGCGCTTTCCAGACCCCGGGCCGCGCCGCGCCGGGAGCAGGACCCGCGCCCACGCCCCCGAGCGAGGCGCATGGTCGGCGCCAGGCCTGAGGAGGCGCCGTCGGCGGCGGGCTCACCTGCAGGCGGTGGCTCTTGACCAGGTGCATGTTGAGCGCGGGGCTGTTGGGCAGGATCTTGCCGCACCCGCGCACAGTGCACAGGATGTTGGTCCGCACGGCCCGGGACAGCTCGCTCACCGACGGCTGGATCAGCTCCCCGGCCGGCGGCGCCGGACCCGCGGGCTGCTGCCTCGCCGCCGCGGGCCGAGGCCGGCTGCCCCTCAGTCGTCCGGGGGGTCCCCACAAGCCCGAGGCGGCGGCGGCTCCCCTCGCGGCCGCTGGGACGGCCGGAGCGCCCGAGGCCAGAGCCGCGGGTCCGGCCGCCGCCGCCTCAGAGGCCGCCATGGCTCCCGCACAGCAGTCGGGCCCAGCTCGCAGGCCCCGCCCCTTAACACTGCACTTCCGGCGGAGGGCGGGGCCTCCAGGCTCATTAGCATCCGGTCAGGTTGGGCTGGACGCGGCGCCCCCTGCAGGTACTGAAGTGTACGTCAGCGGGGAGCTGCTGCCTGGTGAGGCGGGAGGGTTGCAAAACGTCACTGGGATTCCTGTGAACAGGTAGAAGGTGTTGGTTGTGCTTCCAAGAAACTTGACATCAGGCAATAATTGGAGAAGAAAAAGTGATGCGTTCAGAAGTTTTACTTCCCAAAGATTAGAAACAACTCCAATGTTCACCAGCAGCACAGGCGACATTATGTTAATTACAGCTGTGTTTTATTTAGTTTACCATGTGCCAGGCACTGGAGAATGCATTTGTCATGTAGTGTCTTGTTATGTCCTCAAAACAGCCATAGCGGGTAAGTACTGTAAGTTTTCCTCCGTTTTGCAGAGAAGTAACTAATTAATCCTAGCTCACATTATACAAACGAAAGGATGGTTATAATTGATAGTTAATCATTTCAGGGAGGCTGTATTTACTTGCTTGTATTTTAAAGGATAAGATTTGATTACTATATGGGAGACAGTATAGCTCAGGGCAGGGTTCTAAAACCTAAGTACCTAGAGGGACTAGGTAGGTCATGTAGATGAGAATAGTAGGTCAGGGATAGACAAAAGGGAGGGGTAAGGACTGCAGTGAAATGAGAAATAAGTTTTTTGTTTAAAGGGACGCCATGGCTCCCGCACAGCAGCCGGGCCCAGCTCGCAGGCCCCGCCTCTTAACACTGCACTTCCGGCAGAGGGCGGGGCCTCCAGTGCATCTTTGATATCACTAGATTTGTTTTTCAATATTTTTATGTGAAATCATTCAACATTTATATATTAGCATATGTATTAGTTTCCTACTGCTGCAATAACTAATTTCCACAAAATCTGTGGCTTAAAACACAGATTTGTTATTGTTGAAGGACCTCAAAAAGAGCCTGGAGGCTTTGGCTAGAAATAAATGATAAGGACTTATTCAAGGGTCTTGGAGTTTGCAAGCTAGGAACGCAGCAAGGCAAAAAAGTGTTCCAAAGCAGAAAGAAAAGTTAAGTTCTTATAAGAAAAAGTACATTCTTGAGAATTATCAGTCTTGCATTCTTAGCCTTACAACTGATCCAGGATGATTATCAGTCATATGTCAGGGCAGTCAGGGTGATGGATGCCAGGAGGTTTGGTCACATCCTCTGGTCTGGATAATGGATGCCAGGTGGATGTGTATGTGAGTCCTTCAGAGGGTAATCAGGTAGTCTGGGTACCTGAGTCCTTCAGGGCATAAACAGAGGGTTATCTAGAAGTCCATTTGTAAATCCAAGCATTGACACAGGACTGAAAAGTTAAAAAAAAGTTTGTTACCAGGTTAGAACAAGAATGGAATCTTATGCCTCAAACTTCATGTTAATTTTAGCAGCTTAGTTAAAATGACTCCACCTTATATATTCCCCATCTTCACTCTTTCTTCATTATTTGACAGTTCCAGAGATTAGAAGTCTAGAATGATCCTAGCTACCAGACCAGGATCAAGGAGTTGGCAGGGCTGCATTTCTTCTGGAGGCTCCGTGGAAGTAGCTTGCCTCTTCCAGCTTCTCCAAGTCAGTAATGGTGAGCTGAGTCATTATATCACTCTGATTTCTTCAGTAGTCATATCTCCTTTTGCTCTCTTCTCTTCCATTTTTGAGTACCCTAATAATTACATTGGGTGCATTCAGGAACTCTCATTTGAAAAATCCCTTTGCTTTTAAGGTAACATACAGATTCCAGGGATTAGAATGTGGGCATCTTTGAACAGGGCGTATTATTCTGCCCACCAAAGGAATTATGACTTAATAAGTACCGTGGGCCAAAAGAACTCCTATCTATGTGTGGGACAGGATCCATGGGCTATTGTTCTTTTCAGCATGGAGTCTAGAGTGCAGGCTCTGAGGTCTGACTGCCTGTAGTTAATGTGGGCTCAGCCACTTACTAGTTAGGGCTAAGCTTTGTTATTCACTGAAGTAGAATAAGACTAGTAATGCTGCCTGCCTTGAAGGATTGTTATGAAAATAAAAAATGGATATAAAATACTTAGCAGTGTCTGCCATATATTTAAGGGCTTAATTAGTGTTAGCTAGTATTCATTTTTAGAGATTCTACCTAATGTAAAATTAAATAGATTCCTAATTACAAAAAATACAAAAATCCCACTGCATTATTCTGAATCAATTTCTTTTCCCTAATTTTACATTAGGCAGTAAATACGTTGGCTATAGAGGTCCTTGAATGTATAATTACTGCTCCATCTGTTCTCAAGACTACATTTGAATACAGTATGTGTGTCTGGACCATCAAGACATAATAGGTAAGAGTTCCTTGTATTCTCATTTCCTTAAGCAGTTACTTCTGTCTGGAGGGCCTCCGTGTGCAGCCTCAAGTGATTCCACTATAGACTGGATAATATGATTAGCATCTTCTTTCAGGTTCCAATTGCTCACCCTTGCCAAGCACCAAGGAGAGCTGTGAGCTGTGAGAAGCCAACCCAGGAGCATGCAGCACCTCTATGTAGACCTAACACAGCCATTCAGGCACTGAGCAGAAGTGCCTGCCCTGTGTGCACAGATGCTTTATTTTATTTATTTATTTTTTTAATATATTTTATTGATTTTTTACAGAGAGGAAGGGAGAGGGAAAGAGGCTTAGAAACATCGATGAGAGAGAAACATCGATCAGCTGCCTCCTGCACACCCCCCACTGGGGATGTGCCCGCATCCAAGGCACATGCCCTTGACCGGAATCGAACCCGGGACCCTTGAGTCTGCAGGCTGACGCTCTATAATCCACTGAGCCAAACCGGTTAGGGCTGTGCACAGATGCTTTAAATCACAATGGTGATCCATAAGAAAATTAGCATTAAGCCCTTGCAGACTCAGTGCCTCACTCTAAGATAACCAAAGTGTCTTTGCTATTGCTAATTAAATCTAAAAACATATTTTTCACATAAAACCCCTACAGTCTGTAGAAAATACCATTGTATTATAAAGCATACTTTAACTCCTTTTTCTGATTGTATTTATGTATCTTTACAGTAAGCCTCTTTTTGATTTTCATCAAAAGTAACTTATGTATCAGTTTTTAAATATCTTTATTCGCAAATCAGTATAAAATTGGTCAGTTTGAATGTCATATAAAATAGATTATAAAAAGTATATTTACAATGAAGCCATTATTTTATATAACTAAATCATCTGATACACTACCTCCTGCAATAGCTTAATGGAACCCAAGTCTACTCTCTAAATGTACGAAGTTTATGATTCTCCTAGAAAGTTTTTGAATTGGGTATAGTTTCTTGGTATTTCTTTATGTGATCCAAAGCTTAAGAGAAAATACCTAAAAACTAGCAATTGGAACCAGACCTCTCTAGGATAGAGGAGAGACAGGAGTGAGAAAAAGGACATCCTGCCACTTAAAGACCCACAACTGCTATGCTTTGCAGGATATGAGGAAGAGGGAGCACACAGTGGAAGAGGAAATAATCATTCCCAACAATTATATTGAACATTTTAAAATTGTCAATATTAAGGGTTCATGTTTAAAATAGTTAGCCATGAAGTGAAATATGTATGCAATATAGTCAGGGAGATGTGATGCTTACAAACCACATATGTCTTATTTATCTTTAATTTTAAAATAATTCATTCTTTTTTGGGGTATACAAGTGAGCAATGGAGAAAGTGGTGCATCTGCAATACCTGAAATTTAAAAAAGAAAAAGAGACAATTAAAATAATCACAGGACAAAGATTTGAGTCAGTTTAAAAATGGGCAAGATCATGGACCCTCATTACGTGCAGAAGCAGAATATGCAATACGGGGTAAGATGGGATACCAGACTGGTCATGAGAAAGCTCAGAGGTAATTAGTCAGCAAAGGGAGGTTTGAATGTAGGTATGCTGTTAATTGTTCTAGCTTGCAAAATAAACTGACTACTTACCTGCTGGTGCTAAGGATTTCAATGCTTCCAGAAGATTCGGGCTAGAGAACTTTACTAGGCACCGGAGAGGTTCTTTTCTTTCAGCCAAGATGCCCCTATTTAAGTCACTTTTGAATTTTGTTTCAAGCTGTCAACAAACATATTTATAAATGACTATTAAATATATCAGTTGGAATGGCATCATGTAACAAAATTGGATTACTCATTTCACTAATTATTATCACCAAGAAATACAGGGCTTAATGGATGAGAGAAGCATTAATTTGCTAACTGAAAATGTAGAGGGCAACCAGCATATCAAACGATAGAACACACAAAATGCTAAGTGTGCACAGTGCCTGACACACAGGAGACCTTGGATGGCAGTTTCGCCTGCAGGTGTCCTATTTTGCATTTTAAAAAAAAATATATTTTTATTGATGTCAGAGAGGAAGAGAGAGGGAGAGAGAGATAGAAACATCAATGATGAGAGAGAATCATTGATTGGCTGCCTCTTGCACACCCCCTACTGGAGATCGAGTCCGCAACCTGGGCATGTGCCCTTGGCCAGAATTGTATCTGTACAACCTGGGACCCTTCAGTCTGTAGGCGATGCTCTATCCACTGAGCAACACCAGCTAGGGCCTATTTTGCATTCTTAATGGAAAATTAGCACTATCCTTTGTAACCTGTTATTTCAATATAAAAATGTCTTGTCTTTTGAGTCACTATCATGATTTCTTTTTTACTTCTCATTATGGAAGATTTAAAAAAAAAATACACAAGTAAGGCGCACAGTATAATGAGTCCCATGTGCATATCACCGGGCTGAAACAATGATCAACTAATGGTCAGTATTTTTTCATTTATTACCTTTCTTCCCATTCCCTACAGCCCACCCACACTGGATTATTCTGAAGCAAATCCAGGACATCATAGTATTCCATCTGTAAATATTTCAGTATGTATCTAAAAACACCTAAAAAGGACTCTTTTCATCCCCTTACATTACCACACATAAAAAAATTAATATTATCAAATATCCAAGTATTGCTAATTTAATAGGTACTTGGCTCTTAGATTCTAATTTCAATTTCTTTTAAAACTTAAAGCGATCCTTCGCATTTAGAGGCAGTATGCTGAAATAGCTGAAGACTGAGTAATGCCTGCAACTAACTCAAATGGTTCAGCATCAAGAAAGAAAAAGAAAGCAACTGTGGCAAAATGTTAACAACTGGTGAATTGAAGCAAAGGGGACATGGATATTCACAGTAATATTCTTGCAAGTTTTCTGAAGGTTTGACATTTTTCAAAATAGGAAGTGAGGAAAAATTAGTAGCAGCTATGCATCAATGTGCACCTTGACTTATAGAATAGAGCCATTCTAAGATATATGTAAAGGGAAATTTTGTAGATTAAATCTTCTGTATACTCCTTCAGTGGACCTCTAACTTTAGTGTGCAAAATTAGCTAGAGAGGGCTTGTAAAACCAGATGGCTGGGTCCCACCTGCAGAATTCTGATCCATTAGGACTAAAGTGGGGCTGAGAATCCACATTTCTTATCTATTCCCAAGTGATGCTGGTACCGCTGGTCCAGGGACCACACTTTGAGAACCAGTGTCCCACAGTATGAGCTTTCTAAAGGAACTGGATTAAAACCTGCCACTCAGGGAACCAAACTTGAAAGGTGTTAATGAGCTATTCGTACTAAAAACACATAAAACCAAATAAGCATTAGGCCTAAATGAGCAGATCTATGGCAGATTTGAAGTGTGGCCTGTAGGGGCACTAAGCAGAAAGAATTTTAATGAGGTGTTTAAAGGGAGGAGAGTGTTGTATGAGCATGAGTATGAGATTAATGATCATGACAAAACCTTGAATTCTTGTAATGGTGGCAATGGGCTTGTCCCTGACACTGGTTTTCTTGGTGGGCAGTGATACACTTCCGGGATGAGCTAGGTTTACAAAACTAACTAGGCTACCGGTTTTTTCTCCATGTGATACCAACTGGACTATGTAATGACTTATTCACTCTTTTATTCAACACCCACTGCATTGTAAGTATTGCTCTAGGTATGGATGGATTAGAAAGGTATAGCCTACAATTTTTTCACCTCAAAAAATAATAGATCACAGCCAGTTATAATTAATTGAATTAATATGAAAGATGAAATGAAAAGGCAAATTTAAAATTTCCAAAGGTCTTCTTTATTAATAGAGAAACTTACTAAATATTATAGAAGTCTATTTTAACTCATAAATTGATTATATAAAATTAAAGTGACAAATGAATAAGAAAGTTTCTTAGAACCAGTTCACTTAGATGTTTTATTCTCTTAAAAAAATATTGATAATTGTAGATAGTTTATAGCAATGTCCTACCTTATACTGTGCAAATTCTAGTCTTGGTTGAGGATAGTCTCCGAAAATTTCTTGAGTCACTCTTTGTACTCTGTCTTTTTCTATTATGTTTTCATGAATGATCCTTGAATCTACTATAGATGGAAGATTTCAAATAAAAGAGCCGTTAGGAGTATATTTCATCCTTAAATTATCCCCTTTTTAATTCCTAACCTTTCAACTTGCTTGTATAATTTAAAGATAATGTTTACAGGTTCTTCTCTTGATTGTAATATTTTCTTATTGTAGAAAAATTGGAAAGCACTGATAAAAAAAAAATAAAAACCACTCATAATTCTACCACACAGAAATAAGTACTGTTAACAACATTTTATATATTCCTGTATAGCCCTTTTTCAGAGAATAAAAAGTGTATTTTTTAAACTGGGATTATAAAATACACAAATTTTCTTTCCTGCTTCCTTTACTTAACATGGAATCAATAGCCCTTCCTATGCCATTGGAAAGCCATTAAAATGTTTCAGAATGGCTGTACCATTTCATTTTATTGCCAACAAATTGCTAAGAGATAGAAAAATTTTCATTTTTAAAAGTGTACTTTCAAATTTCAGTTTTTGTTTTAAAACACACATACTGTTTATATCTAGCCCAAGGTTTCTTTCTTGTAGAGGTGTAGTAGCGTTGTGAGTTTCAAAAGTCTAGAGAAAAAAAAGAAAAAGTGAATGTTTTCCTGATTTTAACACCTTGAAGTACAGCTATTATTTGTTTTAGTACATAAAAGTATGTCAAGTTTTACCTATTTTTTTTTGTTAATCCTCACCCAAGGATTTTCCCCCTCAGTGATTTTTAAAGAGAGTAGAAGGAACACTAACGTGAGAGAGACACATCGATTGGTTGCCTCCTGTACACGCCCTGACTGGGGCCGGGAATGAACCTGAAACCCAGGTATGTGCCCCTGATTGGGAATTGAAACTAAGACCCTTCGTTGCTTGGGCCAATGCTCTACCACTGAGCCACACCAGCCAGGGCTCAAATTTTATATTTATTTTTTCAAACAAGAAGAGATTTGAGCCTATATCCAGGCTGAGTGGAGCATTTCTCCTAGAGCAGGATATTGGCAGAGACATCTAGGGTAAGCAACGTGGCTGTTGTGCCTGAGTAGCTCTGTCTATATTTTGTTATCATAAAAATGGACGTGGAAGAAATAGGTGGTGAGTACAAAAGCTAGAGAAATCAGGGCAGAATTTGCAATGTGAAGTTTTAGCTTTATTCTATGTCTTTATAACTCCAAAAAACTCACTGAGATTCCTTTTGTAAAAATAATTTTCCTACTAAAAGTTTGAATTTCTCAAATCCCTTCTCTGACCTTCCCCCACTAAAGCCACTGTTTTTATAATTAAGTATTTGACAATGTGTATTTTCCTAGGAGCAAAACAGTTGATAGCAATTTGATGGGAATGTGGTTGGTAAGAGGGGAGGGGGCTGCTATGGGAGAAAAATCATTATCTAACTTCTTAATGTTAGATATGTTTTCCTTAGAGGGCTTACAGAGAGCCATTACTTCTTTCTATGTAGAACAGATGAAGTATATAAATATAGGGTAGGGCAAAAGTAGGTTTATAATCGTATTAAAACACAAGAGTTTAGTCTTGTATTATTTATTAATCATTGTATTATTTTCCATGTTAACAACTGTAGACCTACTTTTGTCTCACCGTGTATAATATACCTAAGAGCTCAAAGATATACATAGGGTATTAATGACCCATCTACAGGAGTCTGAACATGTGAGCACACAGATACCATGCACAGGAGCAAATAACCCTGAACCTGTAAGGCCAGATCTATTCTTATAATTAAAAGTAAACGATACATTTAATGCATTTAAATAATTTTAACAAATAAATAAATTGTTGGACTTAATAAACCAATGCTTTTTCCTTAACTTCTAACCCCTGTATCACCTACTGGACTGATGGGACAAAAAATTAATTCTACTTTTCTCTTGCAATAGAAGAGAGTAGTAGAATTAATTTTTTTGTAATTAGCTTAAAAAGGCAGCAAGTTATTCTAAAGAGAAAATTAAACTCTAATTAGAATAGCTGATCTGGAAACTGGGATCTAACAGACTCCAATAACTAATGAGCAGTATAAAACACAAAATATGATCATAAAAAGATGATACTGAGGCATTTCATTATTTTGTTTCTGTAATGTTACCTAACAAAGTTTTCTCTGCTTCAGTAGTACCTGAAGGGATCTCCTTTTGTGGTAGGTGAACTTCCCACCTGCTCAGGGGCTTGTAAAGAGAAAATGGAGACTTAACTTTAAACAGTCACTGATGGGCTCACCTGATTATACTGTTTAAAAACAATAGCCTTAAGAGAGTCCAGATATCGGCTTCTGAAGTCCATTTTCACAATCCGATGGTGTTTGCTAGCAACTGTCAGTGCCTTAAAGTGAAAGTTAGAAAGAATATTAGGATTACTGTGTCTATTCCTGTATTTACAGTATTTGTCAAAGTAAAATTAAGAGTGGCAGTAAGTGAATACTTTCTACTTGCGAGTGAAAAGAGAAACCCAGAAAAATGTAATCTCATGTCCTGTTACTCAGCTTTTTTAAAAGACAAAAAAAGGCTAATGGCATTAAAATGATCATAAATGCAAAATCTTTTATACCATTTTTAGAACTGTGTTCCTATTTAAAGTTAGGATTTATAATACATTAAGTTCAGACTTAGGAATAAACAATGAATACTTAAATGTTACCATTTTGGAATACCAGTCATCTAATATTACAATGATATTGCCACACTAAAATGCAAGTATGTATACTTTACGACAAATACTGAAGAAAAAAGTACATATTAAATGCAATTTATAAAAGCTTCCCATTATCTGGAGAAGCAAGTTAGAAGGCAGAAACAGAATTAATAAAATACTTACCTGGAACTAGAGAATAGAGATAAGTTTGCCTTAAGATTCACAGTGGAAATAAACATTAGCTTGTGAGGCAATGTTTAAACTAGCTATGGCAGGGGCGACTCATCTGGCTGTAAGTGGATGAACCACCACTACTAGTATATATTAAGGAGGAAAAGATCCCAAACATACAGAAGCAGAGTTAAGTGTTAAAGGGAAGTAGAAGCATGTAGCAGAAATCCTTCTGCCATTTCAGTAAACAGCCAAGGAATTTAAATGACAAGCAAGTCTGCCCGCCAGGATCCTAAGGCTTGTAGATCCATACTGTGGAGTGCTCGCTCTACTAGAGATGATGGAGCCTGGATGGTGGAGCTGCTCACCTACAACCAGCTTACGTGGTAGCTCTGGCACCAACTGAGGTGCCACTGTAGTTGTGAATAGAGAGTGGAAGCAGCAGCGGTTGCCAGGCCTATGTAGGGATGGCTTATTCGGGGGAAAGATGCTAGGAAGCCAGAGCTATAACAAGAAGCAGGCTGTGAGTAGACGCTCCTTCTTGTGCAAAGAATGTAAGGAAAATGATTACAAATGAAAATAATGTTCATTAATAGGCAAATTATGCAGTCACAAAAAAGTTGTGAGGTGTCAGATGGAAACACATGGAAATGTTAAAAAAGCAAATGACAGGTGATATGCTATTCTGGTTTTTGTAATAAAACATCTGAAAGGAAATAACAAAACTGTTAACAGTAATTATTTTGGGTAAATAGGATTGGGAAAAAGGATATGAAGTTTTAAAAGACTAAGGGTTGATCTTTAAAGACCTCTGTGTTGGTTGAAGTTTTACATTAAATACGCATAATTCTAGATGGAAAGACAATAATGAAGAGCTCCGAACCAATGCTTATACCACTTTCCCATATGCAGAAGAACCACTCTTCCTTATTTTAGGAAATCAAGAATTACATGTGGCATTTTACATAGCGCTTAAACCTACACAGACCTTTGAGATAAGATAATACAACTTTATAGCTGTAGTAACTGGTTCCATACCTGACCCAGAAGGGGAATGCTGCTCCTCAGCCTGGAAGAAGAAATGAAGGCATACGGAGTCTGGGAATAGTATACCACGTAAGTAGGTTTGTACTGGTTTGGCTTTTTACACTGTGTTCCCCAGGCAATTCGAATCCATACTGCATTCTCTTCAGCGTCCTTGAAGGTGACTGATACCTTATTAAAAAAGAAAATTTAAGTTTCCTAATTAAAATCTTGTAGCACCAACATGTGCTTTCTAGGGGTGAAGGATGTCACTGTAATCTTCCACACAGTCTTGTCTCCTACTTTTCATTACAGTGTTTTGGGAATCTTTGAGAAAATATTTTGTGGTTGTTTTGCAGACATATGTATTGCTTTGCAAAGTCTTTTGGAAGAAAAAAAATTAAAAACCTACAATCATGGTGTGATACCAGAATTTTTCAATAATTTCTTGGGCTTGTCCTGAAAAACTGTTCCTCTACCTGTAAGAGTTTATGAAGGCAGCCTTACAAATGATATTTGTTATAAAATGGAGCCTTTTTTGCATGGAACATAGAACTAGGGTGCACTATTAAATTTAATAGCAACACTAAAATATATACTAATATATATAGACTTAAAAATATATTAATCCTAATGCTTTTATGCATTTAGCTGAGATGCTACAAATTAAAGGAAAGTTATGTGATGAGAATAGGAAATTCTATTTGGTTTCCATTTCATGGATAAAATGTAGACCTTCCTAAACTTTTAAATATGACTATCAGTTCGTCTGGAATTCAGTAGCCTACTCTTAGTTATTAGCTCCCCCTTGACTCAGCTTTCCCTCAGAGCTCAGACCCTGCAAAGGCAGTACTTGAGACAGGTGTACTTGGCTGGCCCATGTCTCTTCATTTCCACCCTCTTATACCTTACTCCAGTAATTTGGTTGTAATGTGACTGCTGGCATTAAGAAGGCAGTTGCTTTGACTTTGCCCGCTTTTTATTTGTCTGCTTTTCCAAATCCCCTTGGTGCATGAGACAAGGAACCCTCCCCAGTCCTGGGCGTGGAGGGTGCATAGCTGTCTGACCCTCC